AAATATATTAAAATGTGGCCGTTTTTGGTCTTTATTATTACTTTTTTAAACTCAAATATATTAGCGATGCACGGCAGAGCGCTCGACGAAGCGCACTCGGACGAAGTTATTAAATTTTTAGCCCCCCCCCCCTTAAAGTCGTCTATGAACAAAGCTCATTAAATTTAAAGGGATGTTTGAGGGTGTCTCGTTTGAAAGAGAAGTGACTTTGGATTGATAGTTTCTTGATTGGTTTATGTCAAATAAGAGACCACACTTTCGATAACTTTTAAGTTCGGTGTTTTTTTTTGTTTTTGGATATCATTAATTTTTTGTAATGATTCGCAAGTCGTCGAGAAACAAAAGCATTATTATTGAGGGTCATCAAATATTGTCCTTGGTTTATCGAGCCGGTAATTGGAACCATTTCACCCAACTCATTGTACGCATTGCATCCTCAAAAAATGGTGGAGCCTTCAGCATTTCTTCCAAGGAATGATCGATCGATAATTGATTTCTTGTATGAAAGCCTGGTTTGCCTTAGATATCGTGGTCAAACCGATTCATATGATCAAAATTGTGTTAGGAACATCGGAAACAAACACTCTAGCTCTTATAGGTTCTGAGATCGATGCGTTCATATATACGGATGGACAGAAAGACAGACGGACATTGCTCGATCGACTGGACTATTGATGCTAATCAAGAATATTTATTCTTTATGGGGTCAGATATGCTGCTTTCTGCCTGTTACATTTATTTGCACAAAATCATTATAATCTTATTAACCAACACCATTACGAAACAGTAGAAGTATCATATCTATGTACTAGCGGGTATAACCCGGCCTTGCCCGTGGCACGTATGTTATAAAATCAATGTTCTCAAAAAAATTTGAAATGATTTTGAAACTGAGCGGACGGTAAACAAATAACTTTCATACAAACGTTTTCCACCAATTTACCACTGTTGCAAGTGGAATTTCCCAAATCGCTGAAAGACCAAGGAGGAACGTATTTTTCGAAAAGTGTGAAACACCCCTTAAATGAATTTGAACAAAGATCTTTGAAAATAAGTTTGGGGCCGATCGGATGGTAAACAAAAAACTTTCATACAACCGTTTTCCGCCAATTTACCACTATTGCGGGTGGAATTTCCCAAATCGCTGAAATACGTATCTATTAAGTTCTTTTTGAGAGCTTTGAAAATAAGTTTGAAGCAAATCGGATGGTAAACAAAAAAGTTACATACAAACGTTTTTCGCGATTTTGCCACACTTGCGGGTGGAATTTCCCGAAACCCCGTCTTAGCGTGCACCTACGTCACATAAGGTAGCTACAGTGAAAATTTCAGCTTCCTAGCTCTTACGGTTTGGGCTGTGCGTTGATCACCAATCAGTCAGTCAGTCAGTCAGGACAAACAGTTTTATATATAGAGATATATGTTGCTTTCAATCGGGTCTGATCACTATTAGGTCTATTATGTCAAGGAACGCGTCGAAAATTTGCAAATTTATAGTACAAATTGTGTGTTGCAACTCTTAGCATTGCAACTCTGTTCAATCAACTGTTTTAATACATTGAATCCATTAAACTGGAAAGGAAGCATCTCTGACCCCATAAAGTGTATCTATTTTTGATTAGGATTGCAAGATGAGTCGAGCCTTGTGAGATGAACGAATCGATCTCAAAACCTATAAAAATAGTTAGAGGCTTGCAATTGAATTCTCTTATACCATCCATTAACATAGTTTTTCTTTTACGAAAATATCGATACAAATCTATTTTCACACTTGGGATTTTTTTGGCTTAACTGTAAAGTTATAAGATATAGTATGAAGGTGCGCGTATAATATATAATATATGATAAAGGGGGTGGGTGGGGGTTGGCGGTTGAGTTAAAGCGGATGTTCAAAGTTATTTGCTTCGACCTTTCCTTCTATCTAATCTATATCGCTGTTTGGACAGGGCCTTTTTCTCTTTAACGACACTCAGTAGTCGGTTGTACACGATCCTCTCCAGGACCTTTTCCGCCGTGCCCAGTAGGCAGATTGGCTTGTATCCCGAGGGTTCCTGGATTGGCCACCTGTAGGAAGGTGCTCCTTTTCTTTTTGGCTTCCTTCTGGGCATGGATAAGTCGCTCGCATCCGAGCTGACTTCGTGATCCATGTCCATTGAGCATGGGAATCCGTATAGGTTTCCTCGTCTAGGCAGTTTTCCTTCCATTTGGGGCCTGTTGTTTTGGGCTGCTGTTTCTTCGTACACTCTTCGGCACTTCGTAATGTATTGCTTAAAAAAAAAGAGCAAGTCTTTGCTGAGCACTGTGGCAGCATTTGAATTTGTGACCTCATTCGACTTTCTTTTTGTTGATGTGGGCTGTTATAAGTCGGTTTGGATGGTCTTATTATACTACTCGCTAGAAGTTGTTTAACTTTTGCGTTGACACATTCAGATACATCTTGGAGTATACCGGTTGGCCATATGTCTGGATAGTAGTAATATTATTTATATTATAGACTGAAGACTAATTACGTCCTCAATTGCCTCAACCATCAAATTCTAATTGTATTAATGTAGTTTGAATGAAATTCACATATCACGATTAGTGAATTGATCGGATCTAAAGCTTGATTGTTTAATTTTGCGTTTACTCGCTTCAATCATTCTGGGCCAATTATGCCGTCAAATTCTTAATGGGCTTTCGAAAGTAAAAAAGTTTCTACGTGTAATAAGAGAATCGAGTATCGGTCCATTTGGAATGGGTTGTCAACATGCACAAAGTCTTCCAGTACCAAAAGTAGTTCAACATAATTTTTGGAGGCGCTTGTATCTATCATAAGCCAAGGCAAACGAGTACTTTACTGATGCTGTTGGTGGCTGGCGCGGTGTGTGGCTTTAGTAGTAGTTTTTTTTATTTATTAGTTGCTTGCTTGTTTTTAAGTTGCTTAGGTTTTTCAAGGCCTTCTTTTTTATTATAGCGCTGGCATGCCGGTGTCAGGTTCCGTAGGCAAATCGGTTGCAATAGTTTCCCGTTTAATAGCCATATTTCAGCTATAGAAAATTTTACTTTAGCCTCGTCTCAAGCTACATTTTACATTGATGTCTAAAAATAAGTTTGATATAGGTATCAAATGAGTTGTTACAAAAATATTTGATTTTGAAGCCGATTTGATGGGAAATAAAAAACAACTGTTTTGTGCCGATTTTCCACACTCATTAAATTTGAATTTTATCGGACAAAATTAAAACTGCGAATTATATGAAACACGTCTAAAATCAATTTTCCTTGGATATGAGTTTGAATCCAAAACATCTGTATTCAAGGCCTGCATCCCTATTTCCACTAAAGTGTGGTTTTTAGAAATAATGTGCAATACTTGAACGAATTTGAATAAAAAGTTTTGAAAATAAGTTTGATATTAACAATACCGTGTCTTAGAACAGTTCTTCGCGATTTTTCCATACCTGCGGGTTGATTTTCCCAAACCCCCGTCTTAACACGTACCTTCATCCCGTGCATTCAAAATATCAGCTTCCACTTACAATTTGGCCGTTCGAGAGACTTTAACAGAGATACATATAGTGATTACTGAAGGATATAAACAACTTTTAAATTACTCCCGACAAGAGGATACCCTGAACCCTCTTCTTCCAACACCAAGTGCAGCTCGCGTTACGTGCTTGTTTGCTTTAGTAATGGAGATAAATTAAAAAAAAACGTTTTCTTGGCAGGGTTAAAACTCGCAACTAACCGCACTACCTGCCGCCGCATCTACTCAACAGCTATACCAGCCTAAAAAAAAAAAAAATTCCATCGGTAGGTCTCGAACTCGAAGCAGACCGCACTACCGCCGACGCCTCTACCCAACAGCCACACCAATAATTGAGTCTTAATGAGAAAAAAAAAAATGAAAATAGCAGCATTGAAAACAATGCAATCGCAATTGCGATGCTGTTGATAGAATTCAAAGAAGACGCGCATGAATGTGTGTATGCAGAAATTCTTGCAATTTGCGCTAGCTGCCGCAAACACGTGGGAAGCCGAAACACATTTTTTTTTGTGTTTCTTACCCGATCTTGATGTAATTTTCATCAGTAGATCTTATTGTATTTAAAAATATTAGTGTATTCTCATAATTGAATTTTAATTGTGGCTTATATTGGTGGGCAGCATATGTAAATTGGTTTATTTACTTGATTTAGTATCTTTTGGTGCGAGCGGGGAGGTGGTGATGGGTATAAAATGAAAGATTCTGATATATGTATACTATTCTAGAAGCAACATATCAAGTTTGGTGACTCTAGCTCTTATTATTTACCAAAATTGCTCAAAAAACAGGATTTCGATATCGATTCCTATCGATTACTTGAAATCGGGGCGAGTTTTCGAATATCGGAAACAAACTCGATCTGCGCGGGCACTAGGAGGACCTACAGCTAAAATTTTCTAGCTCATAGGTTCTAAGATTCCTGCGTTCATACATACGGACGGACAGACAGACGGACATGGCTAGATCGACTCGGCTATTGATGCTGTTCAAGAATATATATACTTTCTTAGGTCGGAGATGCTTCCTTTTGCTTGTTACATGCATTTGCACCAATACATTATACCCCTTTTACCCATTTGCCCATTCAGGGCATAAAAATGAAGTTATTTTTTTTTGCTTTGTCTGTATGTTTTTTTAAACTTATATACCGAATTATCTTATATATCAATCTTAAATTATTTATCATTATCCAAAGTATATTTCCTTAACAAAAAGCAAAAAAAAATAACTTCATTTTTATGCCCTGAATGGGAGAGAGACTTTATTTAATTATTAAATGAGACTTTATTTAATATACAAAATTCTTACCATTTCTTTATTTCAGAACTAAATAAAAACCCTGTAGAAGGTTTCTCAGCTGGATTAATTGATGAAAATGATATATTCCGTTGGGAAGTCCTCATAATTGGACCACCAGACACACTTTAGTAGGTTTATTACAGTCAACATATTTATATTACATACATTAAAATAAAAGCATTTCACTTCCAAGGAGAGCATTGATTTTTTGTTTGCAATCACCTTTAGTGGCCTTAGCTTCACCTTCAGCAAAAATTGTAATTAATGTTTATTTAAATTTGACTATAATTCTTAATTTGATCATAAAATATAAAAAAAAAACATCCAACTCCAGCACATCAAAATGGCATGCTGCCCTTTCAAATCAATAGATTTTTTTTCATTTGCTTACTTTTTTTCTGATTCGTTCTGTTTGGAAATTTGGATATAATTATATTTTGAAAAATATTAAAAAGGTCCAAGGCAAAATTCGAGGCCTGTCAATAATGTACTCAAACCGTTAAAGCGCTATATCATCAATCCTTTACCCAAAGCGTTAAAGCGCTACATCATTCACTACTCTGTATAAGCCATAAAGAAGTGATTACATAATATAATCATTATTTACATTAGTAATGGATTAATTTTAAAAAATCTTAAATTTCAAGCGTTCTTTATTCCAGGTAATTCTGTGAAAATATTTTCAGTTTTAACTTCGTGAGAGAAAATTGGGCAACATACTTATTGTCGTGTTTACACATTAAATAATAATTTCGTAATTTCAAAACAAAAAAAATGTATACAATCATGGACCTGAGCTTAAAACTTAAACTAATCATTATTTTTTTTTTTTGAGGAAGTCAGCCTCAGCCCTGTTTGGGTCCTACCTTTTAAATAAGAAGAAATCCAAAGAAGCCAAAGAGACGGAGGGAAACTTAAACGGTCAAGCTTGTGGAGTAAAAGATTATGGTGCACAGAATCAAACGCCTTACTTAAGTCAGTGTAAATGACATCAGTTTGCATTTTAGAAAGTAATGCATAATTTACCAAGGAAGTTAATTCAAGCAGATTGGCCGTAGTTGACAGATCCTTTACGAATCCATGTTGAACAGGGGAGACAACATGATTGCAGAAGTAAGCAAAGTTATTATTTTTTCAAATAATATCCACAATTCCGACAGTTTTGCAATGCCCCTGTAATTTTTTATATTAGACTTTCCACCTTTCTTGTGGAGAGGAATTATTATTCCATAAGATTCTCACCAAAAAGTTGTAGACAGAAGATTTAAGGAATAGATTAAAAAGCTTAAGCAATAGACGAAGAAAGGGAGAACTGCACTCCTTGAGTTGTCAACTAGGCATATTGTCAGGAACAGGAGAGTAAGATTTTAAAGAATTTATAGCAGAAAGGAGAGAGGATTGGGAAATAATTGGAGCAAGTATAGAACCAAAGGAAGAATATTATAAGGGTAAGAATTATTATTAGGACAGACAGAAGAGTAAGTCGATTGGAAAAAATTGGCAAAGGGGTTAGCAGAGTCAGAATCATTGCTAGCTTTACCCATTCCGAGAAAAAAGGAAGATGGCAACCTTGAAGATGTACGCTTTAATGTTAAAAAATTATAAAACCGTCTCGGATTTTGGGAAAATTGTCTTTTGCAACGAGTAAGATAATTCTCATAGCTCTGAGAATTCAGGAAAAATAAGTTCGACTTGACTATGGAATATTTAGCCAAGTCGATACTCGAAACAGGCTTATTAAACTTTTTAAAATATTTAGTCATAATTTTTAAGGTTTGACAGTCTGGAAGGGGTGGCTTTGAAGAAGTAATTGATTTTGGAATACAAACATCTAAGTGGGAGTTCAGGGTGTGATTAATGTAAGTCAACTGAGTTATATAAAAAGAGACTAACCGGTTGCATGAATACGTTGATTAAGACAGGAATAGTTTCCTTTGCGAAAGCAACGCGGGGCTTGTTGGTAGCTGGTGAATGAGAAATAAGAGGATTCCAATTGAGCATTGCAACCTCTAAAGTACATACATCTTCAGAAGAGGTAAAGGAGGATACTTGGAAGAATTATATGAACCCAATAGAAAACTGATTGAATTTGTTTATCATCCTACTTTAGAAATTTTAGCTGTAGGTCCTCCTAGTGCACGCGCAGATCGAGTTTGTTTCCGATATTCGATAACTTGCTCAGTTTCCAAGTAATCGATAAAAATCGATATCGAAATCCTGTTTTTTGAGCAATATCGGCAAATAATATGAGCTAGAGTCAAACTTGACATGTAACTTCTAGAATAGTATACATATATCAAGTATCTTTCATTTTATACCAATCGACACCTCCCCACCACCACCACAAAGCTACAAATCAAGTTAATTATCCAACTTGAATTGCCCATCAATTTAAGACACGATTTATATGCAATTGACTTTTTGAAACAAATATTCTATTCTACAATAAGATGTACTGTCGAAAATTTCAATAAGATCGGTTAAGAAACACAAAAGTTATGTGCGCACGTGTTAGCAGCACCTAGCACAAATTCCAAGAATTTCTGTATACATGTACACACACGCATTCATGCGCGTTTGCTTTGAATTCTATCAACAGCATTGCAATTGCGATTGTATTGTTTTCTGTGCTGCTATTTTAATTGGTTATTTTCCCATTAAAACTCAATTATTGGTGTGGCTCTTGAGTAGTGGCGGCGGCAAGTGGTGCTGTTAGTTGCGAGTTCGAACCCTGCCAAGGGAACAATTTTTTTTTTTTAATTTTTTTTTATTACTTGTAGTTGATATGAATATTGCTATTAATATTTTTTTAACACCCTGAACTCCCACTTAGATTTTGTAGAGTTTGTACTTAGAGTTTGTATTCCAAACTCACTTGCTTACTAACTTACCCATACTGTCAAACCTTAAAAATTAAGTCTTAATATTTTAAAAAGTTTAATAAGCCTGTTTCGAGTATCGACTTGGCTAAATATTCCATAGTCAAGTCGAACTTATTTTTCCTGAATTCTCAGAGCTATGAGAATTATCTTACTCGTTGCAAAAGACAATTTTCCCAAAATCCGAGACGGTTTTATAATTTTTTAACATTAAAGCGTACATCTTCAAGGTTGCCATCTTCCTTTTTTCTCGGAATGGGTAAAGCTAGCAATGATTCTGACTCTGCTAACCCCTTTGCCAATTTTTTCCAATCAACTTACTCTTCTGTCTGTCCTAATAATAATTCTTACCCTTATAATATTACATCCTTTGGTTCTATACTTGCTCCTGTTATTTCCCAATCCTCTCTCCTTTCTGCTATAAATTCTTTAAAATCCTACTCTCCTGGGCCCGACAATATGATTAGTTGTCTACTCAAGGAGTGTAGTTCTCCAATTTTTCGTCCATTGCTAAAGCTTTTTAATCTATCCCTTGAATTTTCTGTCTTTCCATCTCTTTGGAAAGAATCTTATATCACTCCTCTCCACAAGAATGGTGAAAAGTCTAATATAAAATATTACAGGGGCATTGCAAAACTGATAGCGGAAATTATTTGATAAAATAATAACTTCGAATTTGCCTATTTCTGCAAATCAGTTGTCTCCTCTGTTCTACATGGATTCGAATAGAATCGGTCAACTACGACCAATCTGCTTGAATTTACTACCTTGGTAAATTATACATTACTTTCTAAAATGCAAACTGATGTCATTTACAGTGACTTAAGTAAGGCGTTTGACTCTGTGCACCATGATCCATTACTATTTAAACTTGATCGAGTAAGTTTCGCCCCGTCTCGTTTGCATTGCATTTCCTCTTATTTAAAAGGTAGGACCCAAAGAGTAATGCTGAGGCTGACTACCTCAAAACAGGTTCACGTTACTTCTGGTTTTCCTCAAGCTAGTCATCTTGGACCTTTACTCTTTACTCTTTTTATAAATGATCTTCCCTCTGTTATATAAGATGCCCGGGAACTTATGTATGCGGACGATGTTCAACTTTTATACTAATCCCCTACATCATTCTCGTCTAGAAGATGAATTGAGCACTATGCAACTTTGGTGTTTGGCCAATCAATTGCATCTAAATTGTTAAAATTGTATCCTTATGACCTTTAATCGTACTACACCTTATCTTGTTAGTTATACAGTTGACAATACTCCATCTGCATATAGATACCATCGTTAATGAGGCAAAAGGTGTACTTGGTTTCATTAAACGTTGGTCTAAGGAGTTTAACGATCCTTTATAGCCAAACCTCTCTACATGTTTCTTGTTCGCCCTATCCTTGAACAGTGGTCTTGCATCTGGTCTCCGCATTATAACAATAGCTAGAATCGTATTGAATCAGTTCAGAAGACATTTCTGCTTTTTCCGTACGAGGTTTAAATTGGGACCCCAATCTTCGGTTGCCATCTTACTCCAGCGGGCTTCTTCTTGATCTTCCGTCTTTAACCAACCGTAGAACAATCTGCGGTGTTGTCTTCCTACATAAAATAATTGTTGGTGACATAGATTCTTCTTTTCTGTTAGGGCGTCTTCAATTCTTTGGTCCGTCTACACCTACCAGGAATTATCGTACCCTTTTCCTACCTACATGTATAACAGATTACGCTATGCACAAATCTTTAGCGTGCGATGATGTCCCAACACTATCTCATATACTAAACACTAGTATTTTAAATTCTTTCCTTATTTTATACCCTAAACCCATTGAAAATGGGTAGAAAGGGTATAATGTATTTGTGCATATGTATGTAACAGGCAGAAGGCAGCATCTCCGACCCCATAAAGTATATATATTCGTGATCAGCATCAATAGCCGAGTGGATCTAGCCATGTCCGTCCGTATGTATGAACGCAAGGATGTTACAACCTATAAGAGCTAGAGACTTCACATTTTAGCTTTAGGTTCAATTTCATCAAGATCCGTTAAGAAACACAGAAGTTATTAAAGAAAAGGTGCTTTGGCTGGTAGCAAGCGCAAATTCCACGAATTTCTGTATACATGTACACACACACATTCATGCGCGTCTTTGAATTCTATCAGCAGCATTGCAATTGCGATTGTATTGTTTTCTGAGCTGCTATTTTAATTCGTTTTTTTCTCATTAAGACTTAGTTATTGTTGTGGCTGTTGAATAGATGCGGCAGCAAGTATTGCCGTCAGTTGTAAGTTCGAACCCTGCCAAGGGAACTTATTTTTTTTAATTTTTCTTTATTACTAAAGCAATCGTGCGCGTTGCGCGAGATGCATTTGGTGTTGGAATGAGAGGGTTCAGGGTATCCCCTAGTCGGGAACTCCCGACTAGAACCTCTTACTTGTTTCCTATTGTATTTTCTGAAATAATATAGTAATTTAAGATTATTTTAAATTTGTACTTAAGAACATTATTTTCTCCAATAACTTATTAGCTGTAGGCTCTAATATCATCTATGACAAAATTAGCTATGAAAAGGGGCATAGCTGGCCGGAGGGGCAAATAAAACACCTCTATCGATCGGTGATGTTTTTAGAAATTTGGTTATTCCAATTAGGCTTTTAGCATTTAATTTTCCTAATTTAGGAAGACACTTGTTTTTATCGTCCATTAATAAATAAATAAAAATAAATATATGGAGAACATGCATGCCATGACAAAACAGTTACAAACAGCAACCATCAGCACAGAAAGCATCCGAGACCATTAGGGAACCGCCTCCAAAGTTTATTTTTGGGAAATCCCTTCCTTTCTCAAATCCCTCTAGTACACCTTGTATCCGGCAGGGCCATTTAAATTAAATTTGTTCTCAATCGAAAATAGATTTCGCAATGCGTAAGATCCGATTATTTGTTTCTAATAAAAGATTTGGGAAAACATAAACAATTAAAAAGAAGCTGCATTGTAGTTTAATACTTAATGCAAACGATTGTTTAAACGAGTCTGCACCAGCCGAAATCGAATTAGTAATTAAAAAGAAACGGTGAAGACAATATTTTTGTTTTACACTTTTTATGTTTTATTTTTTATTATCTTTCATTCCTCATTTCTACTTTTTCACTCGTCCGATTCTTAAGAATTGTACACTGCAAAAAGTGGATGCAATAATATTTGTGCACCAGTGTGTATGTGCTATCATTCATTGCAGTGGCTTTGGCTGACGAAGAAATTAATTTCTTAAGTTTTGTTGAGTTGACCATAAGCAATCGCAAATTTTGTATTCACATATGTATGTTGTGTGCTGTGTATTCACATATGTATGTTGTGTGCTGGGTATTCACATATGCATGTTGTGGGGGTTTGCAGATTATCAATATCTTTGAAGCCGATGCTATCACTGAGATTGTATGGCGAATTGACATCCCTAATTATGATGCTTATTGCACCGTGACTGGCCAATTGGAACAAATACATGCTGAATTCCGTAGCTACGAGCTTAGGAAAGATAAAACCATATCGTGTGGTTCGCTTACTTCTCA